AGAATGGCCATAGCAAAAACTCGCCCACAAACTTTGTACATCAGGTGGCTAGGCGTGCCTCAGATGAGCAAGCATCCTCTCTCGATTCTCAACATCTCTGGGCTGTGCGACATTTTGTGGCTAAGCTTTCATGTGGTTGGGGGGGGGGGGGAACATCGTTTTTTGGGAACCCATCGTGTTGCAGCATTTTGCAGATACCGGTAACTACATCCGTAGCGTTCCACTTGACAGAAGCCACGCCACAAAGCACATCATTATGTTTGCCACGTACGTCTTAAGTGATGCAAATAAGGATAATGTGTTTTTGTGGGCCAACCATGGAGCAGGACTTTTGCACATTCTTGCCACTGCGGGGCGACATTTATCAAAACCATTCCGGCAAACAAAAGAACAGCTAACGTGACGTGACCATGGTTTGCCATCACCCATCCTGCCATTTTCAACAGGATACAGGCACTGTCTGCCGCAATGCGCAGCAAAGCAAATCCAAGACATATATACGACGAAGGCGTAGGTTTCTGCACTTGGATGTGTTCTAGTTTTCAGCAAGCTCAGCCTCCAACTGGCTCTGACAAACCCACGGGTGCGAAGGCCTGCAGGTTTGTTCGAAGCTCAAGGAATGGCTTTCCTGCAATTCTTACATGCGCGTGCCTGTTCAATTCGGCCATGCAGAGCAATGTGCCCGGGACCCCGCCCCAAGACGGATGTCGAAGGCAGTCCCTTTGTTTGTGCCTCATTTCCAGACGGCCGGGTAGTTCACATCGTACTAGCAATTGTACCAACAAACCTCACCAACAACAACCACCATCAGATGCTCCATCAGATTCAGTTCGATGCTCCTTCCAAACATATAATATACCTGAGAGCCTACTCGAGGGACAAAACCAACCGCCTGCGCAGGAAGGCCTACCCGAGCCTGCGCACCGGAACCAGGATTGCTTCCGCGATCTGCATGCAGTTCCCTTTGAACCCTTCATTTGATTGAGAACATAATTAGGTGGCCTTTCAGAAAATAGCTGGCCCTGGCAAGTGGAACAAAAACCAATCTAAACCAGTGCCATCTATTTCTAACATTTCTAACCAAACTAACCTTCGACATGACTGAGAACCGCTGCTCAACTACACCTGGTGAAGTTAGATTGCGTGCACCTCTGCGGCAGGCTCTGGTACCTTGCAACTGCCACATCCAAGCTGCGCAGGTCTGTGGGCTGCTTTGGCCTCGGCAGCAGTCTGAATGTCTTCAGCTCCGATGGTGTGGCATCATGCTTCTTTGGACGGCTCTTTCCAAGCCCACCAGCTCTTATCAGCTCTAACGAATCCTGCACCTTAGGGCCATGTCTTTCAGGAAGCTTCCAATCGCTTGCTTGGCGGCCGGGAGCGGCGAGTGGGGTGCAACCCTCCTCGACCAGTGGGCTGGAAGAGGTTGGGCTCCTGCAAAGTGGAATGGCTTGTCAGCATTCTGCCTGAGGCCGCTGGACCCTCCAGCTCATTGTGTTCCATGCGGGTGAGGGGGGGGGGGGTTCGGGCCAAAACTCCGGGGGCTGAGACCTGTTGACTGGGACGCACTTTGCGACACATCACGTTCGCTTGGCAAGCTTGACAACAGAGGCAGCATGCCCAAAACCGAGACAAGCCCCAAGCCAATGTACGGTTCTCCTCTGCTAAATGCAGCCCGAAGCTGGTGAAAAAGTCCCGCGTCAGGCCGCCAGCATCAACACCCTCAGGGACAACAAAGCTGCACTAAGGAAGCCTGCACACAGCGTAAAAGTGAGTGCGTTCAGGCTGTAATGCACCAAGAAATCTCATTCACCACATGAACCCTCGGACCTTCCTTAAAGGTTTGCGAATCAGCCACCCATCAGTGATTTGCTGCAAGATTGGCTGGCTTCTCACACAGGATCCAATATGACAAATGTGCCACAAGCTGGCAACGTTTCCTACGTTTATGTCCGAAACTGTCCAAGCTACAGTTCGCTGATCGGCTTGGGTAAAGCTGTATGTAAATGATGATCCAAGTCCGTGCGGTCTTCCCCTTCAATAACAACTCACGGAGACTTAGCCGGCAGGTTCAAACCTGACTCAGTGGGTTTGGGTCAATAGCCCATGTGTGAGCCAAACTCCTTCTCGCCGTCGTAGCTGATGCACAGCCGCGAGAGCATCGCACCGCGCTCCATGTCCCCCACTTGACATGCCACCGAGAAGAGGAACGAGCTTCCTAGCGACCAAGGCCAAAGATGAACACCTTGATTCGAGTCCCAATGATGCTCTTGGACATCAACAAACAAATCAGGTGTGCTTGGCAAATGGTTGAGGTATCTTCCAAAGTTGCCTTCAAGATCAATGATCGCGTAGCAGTGCTTTTTAAATTGCAATCTGTTGACCGCAAACACGTGCACGTAGTCATGCAGTGTGTGTGTGTGTGTGTGTCTCTCTCTCTCTCTCTCTCTCTCTCTCGCTCCCCGTCAACCTCTTCCTCTCCCTCCATCTCCTTTTCGCTCTCTTTCTCTCTCTCGCGACACAAAAACAGAACAAGCAACGCATTCATCGATGCCATTAATAGATGACTAGCCTTTCCAGAAGAGCCCATTTCTTCCCAAACCCAGGTCGCCAATACTAAACTAGAATGAGGCCAAATGTCAAACAGTACCAACTAGCGGCTTTTCCCGCCCACCCTCAGCTGTGGGCTATTGGGGGTCCTTTGCACCAGAGAAACTACCGCCAATATTGATCCAGCACTCAAATAATATTCAAATCCAATTCGGAGCCAATACAACTGAGGAATGACATTGAGTGATGTTTGAGCGATTTTCGAGCCCGGAAAGCGGGGAGCAGGCATTCAGGCGAAGACTGAACCTAGGAGGATCGAAGAGGATGCGTAACAGGGGCCCCGAAGACAAACAAATGCTCCCTCCCAAGAACTTGCATTTATATAGGGGGGTGCTTACCGAAACGAAAGGATTCCATCAGGCATTCTCCAGTCCACACGGGATCAAAGCTTGGAAGGCTGTCTAAGCACATGGCAACCAGCCCTCGCGCCAATGCAGCTCCTTGAGACCAGCATAGCTATGCGGGATCCCATGTCAATGAGGGGCTGCCTATTCGAAATTCCTTCGGGCACATGAAGCGCTTTGAGTCTGAGCAGCTTTTCACATTCATCTTGTTGGCGTGCCGTGACCGCGGCAGCGAGGAGAGGATCAAATGAAGCCTCTGGCGTGAGTCGTGGTGCCGGAACCTGAGCGCGAGCCGGTCTCGGATCTTGTGAGGGCTACATCTGCAAGCGCAGCATCCACCTCTCGCATCTGACATGTCACCATCTATAATTCTCATCTTCTGCAAATGCCGGCTGCCCCAAAAAGGCTCTTGCGCAAATCCATCTCATTTTTCCAAGGAACAGCCGCTGAAGTTTGTACAGACCCACCGCCAACTTCTCCATTTCCTCCTGCTATGCTGTCAACCCGCAGCATTGCAGCGTCTCAGACTGCAACCTTTGAGATACCCAGGCTTGGGAAAGGTGCTGGCGCTCCCAGCCGTCTTTGGGGCACAGGGCAACAGGCAACGGTTCAAAATGTCGAGAAAGGGACTCCTGTCACATTCTCAAGGCAGGACACCTGCTCTGGAATTCAATGCTCATGATGCTCATACCAAAGTTTGAGTTCACTCTCAACGTGACCCTGCTGTGACAAGGTTGGAAAGTGCTCAAACTCACACAAAGGAATGCTTCATGAACTTGCTGTGCCCCAGAAAACATTCTGCTTGTGCAAATCTCACACACTGCTGGTTCGTCCACAACTCTCCCATAGAAAATAGAGGTTGACCGTCGTGTACCCGCACTCTGAGTGGCCGTATGCTTGAACCACGAGCGGGGCCTCCTTTCCCGCGAGCGCTTCACGTAGCTTCCGTCGCATCGTGCGCCAGAAGTCCATCTCAAGCATACCCTTGGGCGGCAGAGCACATGATACTTGAGCGGTGCATGCAACATGTGCGTGCCATAGCTTGGAAATAAACTGAACAATATGCAAAAATGGACAGTTCATATCCCCTAACCCGAAAACCGCAAGCATATTTTTAATTAAATATCCCCCAACCCGAAAACCGCAGGCGCATTCCATTCAATATCCACTAACCCGAAAACCGCGGGCGCATTCCATTCAATATCCAGTAACTCGAAAACCGCGGGCGCATTCCATTCAATATCCCCCAACCCGAAAGATCCACTAACCCGAAAACCGCAGGTACATTTCATCTAATATCCCCCAACCAAAAGTCGCGGGCACCTTTCATTTAATATGCCCGAACTACCCGAAAACCGCGGGCACCAGCTCACAGATGCATACGAGAGACAATTTGGAAGGCCGAGAGAACGTCGAAGAACAATGACTCTGTGCTTTCCTGGCAGACAAACAGCATCAGCGCTCCGCCATAAGGAGCGACTTTTCCGAGGGGAAAGGGAGGAAACCGTGGATCAAAGCAAGGGAGGGTAGTTGCCACCCAAAGGGTTAGCAGGCAACCTTGCGTCAAATCCTTGACGAATAAAATCACAGCGCTGTGTTCCGTGTTTGGTCTTTAGTATTTCGTGGTCCTGTGTGGCCTGCGCGTGTTCTATGCAAAAACAAAACTGCCATGTCCATCCCCATGGCCCCCGTCGTATCTTAGGCCATGGAGACTAATGCCAAACTCAGCTGACTCGCACATGAACCCAGCTGTGTAGTTCACCCTACCTCCAAGTAAGTTGCCTGCCCTGACCACCTAGTGGAGACAGCAAAGCAAAATCTTTGCCAGGCTACCGCACAGTCCAGTATTGAGGCAAGCTGGGGTAAGCTGGTGATGTAAATATAGGCTTCGCAAACAGCGGCAAGCTTCGCCAATCACGGCTCGCTCTTCAAAACGACATGGTTTTCGCATGCCCTGACCTCCTCTGAGACCGGCGGCAGCTTGCCCAGCATCTCTTCCATGGTAAACTGCCCACTCTCCTGGGATGGCTGCACAAATAGGGTAACCCCAAAAATATGGACCAGAACCGGCGGTCCCCTGGTGGTTTAATTTTGACCCACACCCAGATGGTCATGATGCAGTTGACAGCCAACTGCAACACCTACGTTCACCAGGGTTGGCCCTCAACAAGTCGAGCAAAACCCTTCCGGCAAACCAGACCACACAAATCGCCTAGCACGGCGTGAGCCAATCAACTACCTTCAGACAGCAACCTGCCTAATGCTCACTTGCCATCAATGCCTTCTGACATGTCAAATGGGGTGCAGCCCATGGCTCCAAGTTGCCTAAGAAAAGGTCATGGAGGTCCTCCAGGATCAAAAGCTCCCCATCTTGCAGGCCCACGTCCTAGGTGTCATGGCCAGACTGGACAGACCGAAACACGTCAAGAGCCCAGTTTGAGCTGAGGCTCCGCCAATGAGGCGTCGTTCCCTTCCAAGACACGCGAGGGGAAGCCGAAACGAACCCGTTGATGGTGCGATGGCACTCCAGTGAGCTGCTTGATTTGGCCCTGGAAGTCCTGGGCACAATGTTTCGCAAAGGAGGCAAAACACATAAATGGGGAGCGTGTAGTTGCTGGAAAGTTAGAGTCTGTATAACAAGCATACCTGAGCATGGCCAAGCGTTGCCTGGCAAAGCAAGCTCACTGCGGCTCGTCGTGGGTGCCTTGTTGTTTCCCGAGCCTTCCAATTCTTTCGCTCAGCTTCCGCCACCCGAGTGGTGCTGGGCACTTTCAGCTCCAGCGATCCCATCAGCTGCACGCGGAGGCGCAGCCGCAGATCTCCGGTGGACCGAGCCGCTGCCGGCGCCGGCTTCGGCGCGGACGGGGCGCCGGGTGTGCGGAGCTGGGCCTGGCGTGTCAATGACACATGGGGTCACATGGCTTGCGCGGGCCCTTGAGGGTGCCATCCTTGGGGGTTGGTTAGCCGCAGTTCGCGCATTTGGCCGCAGTACGGTGTACACCAGCCACAGGCTTGGCTCAAGAACATCCGCAAGGCGAGCTGATGGCCTGGTACTGTGCTTCCGCTTGAATCTCTCGAAGCAGATTCTCATCAAATTTCGGCTTGGAGGATGCTAAAGCCTCGGCACAGCTTTGTTCAAAGGCTGAAGGGAAGCTGTCCGCGCCTTTTTTGATTCAGGCTTTCGGCTGGGCCTCTCCCAATTCCAAGTTGATGTGTTTGCTTCCTGGGCGTTCTATATAATTCAGCTTCGACATGATGCACTACCGAGTCGGCCCTTTCTGCCATGTCAGCAAGCTTCAGCATCCCTATTGCCCGTTTCACTCCCCTTCCTCTATTCATCTCTATTCTCCCCATTTTCCCCTCGCTGCCATGCCCAGCTGCCTAAGTCCCGTCCAAGCCGCCGGCCGAGGCTTCGCTTTCGCGGCCCCGGCCGCCAGCGTGGCCTCCTGGCGCCGCAGGGCCGCGTGCACTTGGCGCAGCGCGCCCGGCCGCACCCACGGCAGGAAGAAGCCCTCCGTGTCCTCCTGGCCCAATGGGCTATCGCACCAAAGGAGCCAATAGAAAGAAAAAAACCGCCCACCAAGAAACCAAACACCAAGAAAACAAAACCACTAACTGTCCCCCAAACCAAACCAAACTAAATCAAGCTAGCAATAGACACAGCCGGTGAGTCACTGCTTTTTGATTTCGTTGGCTTATGTGGCAATGTCGCTTGGGCGCTGCCCGTGCTTTGGTCCCAGCTTGGCCCCTGCCTGGAAACCTGCGAGCTGAAGGGCCTGCGCGGACGGACTCGAAGTCAAGCTGCATCTGCAGAACTGATCCCATTGAAACGGCTGGCACGGGATAGGAAGAGATGAAGAGATGGATGAGGGAAGGGGCTGTGAAGGGATCTCATAGACTGGCATCCGCATCCAGAGTTGTTCCCCCTCAAATAATCCAACCCCGGGTGCTTCATGGCAGGATCTTGTGTGATTGAACAGCAGAGTGCTGCTTGCAAGCATTGCCTTGGTGACTGTTCATCGGGAGAATGATGTTGCCTAGCAGCATTTACGGAATGTCTCGAAAACAATTTTGATCAGCAAGTTTGTCAGACTCGCCAAACCTTCATTGAAGCCCAACCTGATTTCTGTCCAGCCTTGACAGCGCCGGGCACAGGCAACACATGAGCGGCAATACGCTGGTTGGACTTCCGGATGGGCCCATGATACCTGGTCATGCCATGGCCCTTCCAGAATTCCGGTGCAGCGAGCCCAAAGGGGCAAAGTCTAGAAACCAGCATAGCATAGATGCACAAAGGCCTACTGGCTTCGCCAAATTGCTTGGTCTCACCAGGATGCTCCAGCACATTGCCCACCAGCATCAGGAGCACCTTCCGGGCTCAATCATAAGTGGTCTAGATAGCCGTGTCAGGAACACCTCACCTAGGCAAATGCCGAAAAGAAGATGGTACCAGCCATCGTGCAAGCTCCAGGCATGAGATTGATTGCGCAATCAAGCCGTTGTTTGGGCAATTCTTGCACGGAGAACAAGCAGGCAAGCACATAAGGATGGGGGTGTGCCCTCACATCTATACGATCCATTTGGGACTACTGCTTTTGGGGTACCATTCAATTTGGGGCATGTAAGCTGGACCAGCACCAAACGCGTTGAGTGCCACATGGCGCAGAAAGTTGTGTCAAAAGGGGGAACCATTTCGGGGCTTTTGTCATTTGCTCCTTATCGTGTTGCGACAGTGTTTCTTAGAGACAACTGTCGTGTCTGATTCGAGCATCAGGAAAAAACATTGCACGTAAACAAGGGAGAAAAGGGGGCAGCATCTTGTTCCATGTAAGGACATTGAGAGGCGAGAACAGGGCCACGGCCCTCCTGCAGCAGTCTGTCTCACTTCTTGCTATCGTTGTCATCTGGAACCCCTTCCATGGAAAAGAATGTGGGCTAGCTGCAGCCATGATGGCTTTCCTCCTGATACGGATAGCGTACGTTTGGCCAAAAAGGACCGGGTCCAATGCGAAAGTTGAGTTGCTACGCAAGTCGCGAGTGTCAGACCTAGCACCCCTCTCTTTAGTTTTCAAGGGACACAACAGGCGAAGAACTCCACAGTGCAAGTATTCAACTGAAAACGGCTTCAAAGATACAACCTGCCTCTCTGTTTGGATTTGCCCTCCAAAAGAGAACATCGGGCATATGTCCTCCGCATGCGAGAAGGGTGCATGCGCGCGCGTGGGTGCGTACGTGCGCGCGCGTTGCTTCCAGGCCTTCAGGGAGGCCTCGCTCCAGATCTGCTCCGCGGCATCTCGGCACGCCAGCTCCAAGTCGCTGTCCAAATTGCTCCCTCAGCCGGCGTTTGTTTTCATGATGCTTCCTTCCCGGAAGCTATACCACCCTTTGTTGCACTCCCTTGCATCTTTTGTTGCATTCCACGTATTCCCAAACACACTTTGAGATCACGGATGCTGCCCGCTTCATAAATTCGGCTTGCATAAAAAATAACTCTGACCAGACCTTGCGTGACGTCGGTGCCACGGGGAAAGAACAAATAGCGACTGTTGCCTGTCTAGCAGCCATAACAAATCACGTTCAGCCGCCATCCCCGAGTCTGTCGCGGGGCAGAAAGCAAACAACAAAACAATCGGTGGCGGAGACTTATCACCAAGGATGGCGGCCCGAGTCAATGCTATGAACCAGGGAATTCATGCCTGCTTGACGGCAAACACCGCAACACATGGAAGAGGTTTGAATAAACATGCTTGCTCCGGAGAAGCGCACAAAAACAAATGGACCCTGGAGAGAATCAAGCAAAGCATTGAGGAATTATTGAAGGTGATGCAGACCCAGATTGTTTGCCGCGAACCCTCGAACACTAAAATACGCCCCTCCCATGCGTCAAGGCCAAGCAGTCAGAAACGGCAACAACAACGGTACCACCACCACCGCAGCCACCACCACCACCACCACCAGGCCTGCAACAGACTGATCTTGTTAGCGGGCGAAGTGCCAAATTCGGGCATCAATTAATCTGCGTGTGTCGCGCCGGATGCCCGACCAGCACCAGCAGCACCCCAACAACAACGAAAACACGAGCATCGACTGTAACGAGTGCAACGTCACCAACAGCGACAGCGACAGCAACAGCAACAGCAACAGCAACAGCAACAGAACAGCAACAGCAACAGCAACAGCAACAGCAACAGCAACAGCAACAGCAACAGCAACAGCAACAGCAGCAGCAGCAGCAGCAGCAGCAGCAACAGCAACAGCAACAGCAACAGCAACAGCAACAGCAGCAACAACAACAAGAATAATAATAGGAACAATAACAAGACAACAAACAAGAACAACATCAACAACAACAGCAGCAGCAACGAACAACCAACGAACAAAAAAACAAACCAAAAAGGAACCTACAACAAACAACCGACAACAAACAACCACCAACAGCCAACAATAACCAACAGCAGCCAACAGCAACCAAGAGCCGCCAACAGAAACAATCAACAACCAAACAGCAACCACCACCACCAACAACAACAACGACACTGATGGAAACGACAACAACCATGAGAACCCCAACTGGAACCGCAACACCAACAACGACAACAACCACACAAACGAACAAGCAACCAACCAACCCAAACCAACCAACCAACCAACCAACCAACCAACCAACCAAGCAAGCAAGCAAGCAAGCAAGCAAGCAAGCAAACAATCACCACTACCACCACCAACAAAAAACACAAACCGCAAACCACAAACCACCAACAACAACAACGACGACAGCAGCAGCAACAGCAACAGCAACAGCAAGAGCAACAACAACAGCAGCGGCAACAACAACAACAACAAGAACAGCAGCGACAACAACAACAAGAACAGCAACAGCAACAGCAACAGAAACAGCAACAGAAACAGCAACAGCAACAGCAACAGCAACAGCAACAGCAAGCAGCAACAGCAACAGCAAGCAGCTGCAACAGCAACAGCAACAGCAACAGCAAGAGCAACAGCAAGAGCAAAAGCAAGAGCACCGACAACGACAACAGAAACAGCAG